CTTGGCTTTTTATTTTTATTTTTTTAAAAAAGAAATAATATGAATTAATTATTGAGTTTTATATCTTATGAGGAAGAAGTTATAAATATATTAGTAATCAGACATATGTTAAATTAAAACGAATAATTTAAGCTACAATTTGAAAGTGTCTCCTATTGATCTATATTTCTCTGTTTTTTTTTTTTTTGGGAGAGATGTGATGCGATAAAATTAGGCGGTGAGCTTTTAAATTTCTCTTGTGGTTCCATACCTAGTCATTCAAGGGATAACGGATTAGATTAGGAGTTTTATTTTAAGTCTTTCACTATAAATACAACTTATTTAAAATTTAAGGTGCTTGTTACTATTTCATAGATATCCTAGGAACAAAAATACTCTTGAAGTTAATCTGAGTTTTATGATCAATGTTAATGCCAGTTAATCTAGATGTGATATTACAATGCTTTTGATACTCAAAGGCAACATTGTTCCGACGAATATTTTAGGATCACCAATTCTCCTCGTGAAATAATTCAGAGGTAAAGTTGTCTTTTTAACCTAATAGTAATTTAGAATCTTTTTATATTTATCGTTTTTGTGCTTATTATTAATGAGAAGTGAGGTTGAATGGTGTGCTCAATTTGGGGAAAAAGGAGTCCCAAATATAAACTTTTATTAAATTAAAAACTTGTAAATAATATAAATTGATGTTAATGAAAGTCTTTACTATATAGGCATTACCGGTACATACCCTTATATTTTCGAAGAATCTCCAAATTCATCATTACTATTCCTCTATCATTCCCTTTTCTTATTATATTCTCCGTATCTTTCTAATTATTTTTCAATGGAAGCATTGGCAAGACGACAGAAAGAATGGAATGGGTCGAGGAGAGTTAAAGATCAAATTCAAGGTTAGCTAGTGAGAGAGTGAGAGTAATTGTTAGGATAATATATGAGAGTCGTGGGTGAAAAATGGATTCTTTATTAATTCCACTGTGTCCACGCAGTTAATTAAAAGTCACCTACCGACACTGCAATTCCAATGAATCCAAAAGTAATCCCCACCCATGCGACTTGCAATTCCAATTCATTGTGTATCTTAATCTCAGTTTCATTAGCTAATTAGCTAAAAATTTTAAACAAAAAAATGAGTATTCAAATGTAATATCTTATAGAATATTATTATATTATTAAAATATAAATAATAAACATATTATCAAAATTTAATCTGGACAGTTTATAATCTAGTACAAAAAATTTGATTCATAAAATATTACATGTCAACCATCCCTTATTTTGATAGGATTCCCATTTAGAGAGTGCGAGTGATTTCTTTTTTTTTTTTTTTTGACCTTGAGTGTGAGTGATTGTTGGAATAATGTGTGAGAGAGAACAGATCAAAGTATTGCAAAGCATCTTCATCCTTATCTTGTTAAATTCACTGTGTCCACTTAGTTAATTAGAAAATTATTACTCCTCCAATTCTTAATATACGATCTAATTGGAGAGTTTATATTGGTCTTCTGTGTAGGAATTATTTCACATATTTATCAATGTTTGTTGCAAATGAACCTTATTGATATTTTTTCCCAATAATAATCAAGTAGGTAAGGGAGGGAGGGAATTACGGAAGAAGCTTAGGGTGTTTTAAAAAAAGTATCATATTAACTAATTAACTAATATATCTAATCTACTCAAATTGGTTAATTAGATCTTACGTTAAAAAAATTAGTAAGTTTCCGGGAAAAGTCTTAGAAATTGTAATTCCACAAGTGCTTCCAAGTTCATTCGTCTTGAAAAAGGAAAAGCAGACAGCCGCATTCATGGTCATCGTCCAAACGAAAGCAGACAGCCGCATTCATGGTCATCGTCCAAACGAAAGCAGACAGCCGCATTCATGGGTCATCGCCCTCAAAACTCTTGGTCTTCCCTTATCGAAAAGGTAGGCAAGAGGACTACTAAGAAGCTATTAATTGAGGTGATAATGGAGAATAAAGAGAAAAACACAAATTTAAATTTTTAGAAGAGCGCTTGTTGAGAGAGCTATTACTTAATTACTTTAATTCTTTAAAAAAAAAATTCGTTTCAATTCCAATATTACTTGGAGGTATTTTGGTTCCACCTTATAAAAGTTATACCAGAGTATTAATTAACTTTTTTAGTTTCTTATCTTGTGAAACGCAATAAAATCAATAGATATAACTCTAGAGGACATGTTTTTCTATATATTGCAATAATTCTAAGCAAAATAAGTTGTAAATTTTTTGTGAATTAACTTAAAGATTTTATATTTTACGTGGGTTTCTATACAAAAATAAATTAAATTGGCTAGGGTATATAAAATTTTCATTCATTTACTTTAATTTTTCACTTCTTATGTTTTTTTCCTTTGATTTTATTTTCAACCCTTAACTCAATTTGGTTGTGATTCGGTTTCCTAATTTGATTAAAATTGTACTTTTCTCCCTTAATTTTCTCATCTTATTTACTCTATGCTAGCTAATGACAAATCTATGTTTTTGCATGCATTTTCATATATTTTTGATGTCTTTTTGTCATTATTATTGGTCATTAATTGCATCATTTGAGTATAATTCACATTAGAGTGCTTTAACTTGAATTAATGCATAATAGGGGTAAAATTGTTATAATCATGATTAATTGATTTTTAAGGACAATTAATGTAACCTTATTTTTGAATTTTTGATTGCAGGTTTTTGAAGAATTAAAAATAATGAAGAAAAGAAAAGGGGGAAAAAAGGAAAAATAATATAATAAAAATAATTGAAAAAAAGGAGACGTTTTGCTCCCTCCCCAAAACCTACTATTCATCATCATGTTGAGTAGCGGTGGAAGACACATGCGAACAGGGAGTGACGGTGGGAAGAAAGAAGAGGAGGCCCAGTGTGCGCGAGAGGGACTTTGAATCATTCTTCACTCCATATTCTTGAGTTTCAGCCAATTCCACCATCTTCCATCAATCTAATTCCACACCATCGCCACCGTCCTCCTCAATTACTTCCATCATCAGTGCCATGCCGCGAGATAGGAAGCCCATTCATCATCATCATTGTCTCTTTTACCTTCGTTTGTGCTATCTGTGATGGCTTTAATCGTTGAAGCATACGATAGAGCTTCAGTGATGCAGGGGCTTAGCTAAATCCTTCTATTCTCTAGAGCGATGGTTATGGCTTGAACTTAGAGCTTGAAAGGGGAGTTTCAACTCTTCCAATCTTTACTTCTTTCATTGTAATTGTGATCTCTAGGTCTTAGAATGAATTTTACAATGTTTAAATGTGCTGTGATGATTTATATTTGTATCGAGATTAGTTGTAGCTGCTGGAATCTTTGATTAGCATTTGATATTATGATGTGATTAACTTTAATTTCTTCACATTATACTTGGTTAGACTATGTTTTGTAATTATTGTGAATATTTAGTGATAATTCAAGGTGGCTTGGTTATTGGACTAAAAATGTTAATTGCTTTACTTTGATTCTCTTTGGCTAATTGTACTGAAACAATTTAATTGTGAGTAATTAATACAAGGTGACTTGGTATTGATTATTCTAATTAAACCGAGTCTAAAAGGTGGCCCTTAGACTCTTTTGAATTTAGCTAGCTCCCAAATTAATTGAAGTAATGATAGCCTTAATCATTATGCTAGAGGATTGCTTTTCCCTTTGATTTTATTTTCAACCCTTAATTCAATTTAGCTGTGATTTGGTTTCCTAATTTGATTAAAATTGTATTTTTCCCCCTTAATTTTCTCATCTTATCTACTCTATGCTAGCTAATAACCTCCTTGACACCCAATTATGATCCACATAGAATCTTTTTCTAGAATATTTTAATTGGATGGAGTTATGCTAAAATATAATCATTTTTTAAATTAAGAGTACAAAAATAAAATTTGAAATGAATTAAAGTTAACAAAATAAATGGGAACAGAATGCATTGAAGGGATGAAAAACGAAACATTAAAGACAATCAAGGTAACAAAAGCATACTTCACCATATAAAATAAAGGGTTGAATAACTTCGAAATATTTTTTCATTAGCTATACTTTTTTCTCGGTGGGGCTTGAGGCGTTCACTCTTTCAACTTTTGATTTCCACTTCAGTGTAGAGGTAGCTCACACTCAACCTTCCTACTTGATATTGAGCTTGCCCAATTATCACATTACGCTTGCTCGTTATCAAAATGACCTTGCCATTTCTTTTTGGTTTTTCCAGATATTGATGTTTTCCTATTCGAAGTGATTCTGTTCTAGATACTGTCTTTATATAATTACCCCAAATTACTACTTTACAGACTTTTGTGACAAAAAAAACTTTAGAACCCTTTTATTCTCAATGTATGTTCACTTTTTTTCTTTGAAAGGAATATTAATCTTCAGTTAGTATCAACCAAATCAAACTACTAATAAATCGATAAAAATTTGAATCAAATTTATTACGTATAAAACCAAATAGGACTACGTTGTAGGTTAATGGAAGGTAAATGATATATTGGAATCATTGTTGGTGAATGGCTGAAAACCAACTCTTGATGTATTTTACGTGAAAATGAATATATTACTGAAAATTCATTGGCACTATCATTGTTGGTGAACGAATGTGTGTCTCTCAGCCTAGGCTAGAACTCGGGAGAAGAGTTGGAATTTGATGTATTTGAGCTCAAAAATAAATTGCTCATGAGAATTTATGAGCTGCGAACTTGATGAAGCATGCTATCGAATGACTGAGGCTCTGAAATTATTTGATGGGGATAAAGGATACTTTTCAAGTTTTGTAACATGTGATAGAACAAAATTTGTGGATGTGAACATAAACGATATGGATATTCTAAGTTGATCCAGAAATGTCAAAAAGGAATAATCTACAAATTACTGCACAGTTTTGAAATAAGGCTAATATATATATATATATATAGAGAGAGAGAGAGAGAGAGAGAGAGATCACAAATTGAAGTAGGCAAAATATACCCAGGTTCAAGAACATCAAAGTAGCCTCTATTTTCTAGTAAAGCATATGCATGCTTGGCTTGAACAGATGTCTTAAATAAAATGTTGAGTAAATGATGTCAAAAAAAAAGTTCAAATTGCGAAAATAAAAATATGGCTACTGGTAAAAATGAAAGAGCTGAGATGAAGATAGGAACCCACTTTAAGCCATGGTCATATGTTATGAAGAAAGCACTACTAAATGCTATCATCATGCTTGTTATGGAGACGAAGAGTGTTATCAATCCAAATATTAGCTTTGAGGGGAGGGAATGATGAAAGTCATACTCTGCATAACGTGATATGAGGATTGATAAGAAGATTAGTATGGAAGCCGAAGATGAGATCATTGCAATAGCATCTGATATAGCAAATATCATGAATGATCGTTTCTCCAAATAATTTGGAACTCCTGTATCATCGTTAACGCCACCTGGTATGCTAAATGCTGCAGTAAACACACCCGTAGCAATAAGAGTTGAAACAACCATGCATGACTTAGCTGTTCCCTTCATCCATGACTCAGCATCTTTCCGTAATGCAGTGTGCTCCTTAGTGAATAACTCACGAGGAGTTTCACCCTTGAAGTTTTTCCTCTTCATATATGATGGCAACACTATCTTCCTCACCTCCTGTCATGTCAAAGGGTTGTTCATAAATTAATTCATGTAAATAATCTAGTTTATGGGATCATCTAAATCACTTCATAGTTACTAGCTAAAAGACAAAGTACCTCAAACCATAATAGTTCAAACTTCATTTGGAAAGCTGCTCCAGATACCAATTCAAGTCGGTTAGCTGGTGCTAACATTGCAGCCAAATGTAATATAGTGTTTCCACTATTTTTTTCTTTATATGACAATATGATATCCTTACTTCCACTCATATCATGGATGAGATTAAAGATTTTAGGATGACGATGTAAAACAGCAATATGAATTATAGTTTGTCTTTTGTCGTCCAATTGCCACATTAGATCAGGGTAAGACTTCATAAGCGCAGCTAAAAAGTCAAAGTTTCCAACTTTTGCTGCATCAAACAGTAGTCTTGAAGGTTCATTTATGAGTTTCTTGACATTTTCCTTTGAGCCTGCACCCTTGAGAATTTCTTGCCACAAGAGATGAACGAGTTCAAGGGCAACACTATGCTTCGTACCTGAGACACAATTTGATGAATTAAATATCCCAAGTTAGAAGTTAGGCAATACACTACGTGCATACTGGGGAAAGAAGCACTGATAGGTCACATGTGAAAACCAATTTTTTTATTCTTCCAAACAAGTAGTTACAAAGCTAATTAATTTAATTACCTAAACTTGTGGGTTGGATTTGTTATTCTGGACTATAACTTCCCCAGTCTGCTGTCTGAGCCATGTAATGTAAACCTGTCACATCATCTTCATCCGTTGCAAATGCTAGTGCAGGCTTTTTTCTCAACATTTCCAATGCTAAACCTACATATGAAAATATGCAAGAAGTAGTCGAGAAAGGCAAATAAAAATCTAAATTAGATGGTGTTTTCTGACAGTTCAATATGAAACATAAAGCTACCTATCAAGCTCAAATGCTTCATAAAAAATATGAATTTTTTCATTTAATATGTACTGAACTGTCCCCTATTGCACTTTTAATAATTAAGTGTATTCGATCGCGCTTTATATGCAACATACACTTACCATAAATACCAGATTCGATGCAAGTGAGGAATAACTTCTTCCACTCTCCTTCATCAAAACTTTCATCAACAGTGGAAGAGTATAGATGGTCTGTCAAATCAGCTCTTCCTTGTAATGCAGCAAAAAGAATACGAGTGAAACCTTTTCGACTTCTTATTTTTGGTAAGTATGGATTCTTTTCTAACATAAAGTCAATAATATCCAGGTTTCCTGCAATAGTAGCAAAGGTGAAGGCAGTGTTTCCCATTTCGTCTTGGAGATCCAAGTCTATGTTGTTCTGACTCATCATGTTCGCAAGCTCCTTCACAAAGTGCAAATGGCCTGCTCCTGCTGCTACATGAAGTACTGTTGCCCATCCTTCGGCTATGGCAGTACTCAGAAGTGTTCTATTTTGGTCTAATATGGGCTTAGCTTTTTCCCAATTGCCTTCAGATGCATGCTTGTGAAGACGCACACATAAGTCGAAGTACGTCATTGTGGCCTCCGCTGAAACAAAAGTGTAATTCCATTGTAAAGTTCTCATATTAATTTTTTGGGATATGATTAATTTATGGTAAGCAGCTTAACAACAAGAATACTTCCAAATTAGAAGGTTAAAAATAAAAGTGAAAAGAAATTATGATTGTAAAGATGAGATGTGTGTTTTTATATCATTTTCAAGTCATGTATACGAATACATAAATGTAAAACAGAACATAAACTTTATCTTAATATCAAAGGATATTTGATGATACATATTAAATTGATTGTTTTGTTAGCGTCGTAGGAAAATAATGACGAACCACAAAGAACCGAACACATTAGTGTTTTATTTGACATTGGAAAGAATGGAGAGATAATAGTTAATTATATGTACCCTGTAAAAGGTCAAGGGAAGGCCTCCTAAACTGCTGATTCAACCCTCCGTAGTAGCGAGTTACTACGTACTTTAGGAGAATCCGCTATATCACCATTTAATGCATCCATTACTTGCAAAATTATACACATTAATTAACACTTCACTATATTCGGTATCAACATGAGTTTTCTATACTTTTTTTTTTTTTTTGAAAAACAAGCACCTATTCCTGCCAACAAAAGGCTCTGTTTGGTACCGCGATGGAAAAGTACCTTATAAGTGGATAAGTTAATTTGCACATTTGGGAGCTGGTTGGTTTTTTTTTTTTTTTTTTGACCTGACTGTTTGGTTGAGTTTTTAGCCAATCTAACTTGTGAGTTAAGAGCTACTTTGTTAAGCATGATTGTAAAAGCACTTAAAACTTGCTTATGACTTATGCAAAAATAGTTTTTTGCAATCAAAAGACATTTTTGCCCTTATGTTTATGTTGTTCTCATACTTCTTTGCACACATTCACTGTGCTTCCTAATTAGATTCTAATTATTTATTTTTAATACTCTGTAGTGAAAATAATTTTTAACATATTTTTTATAATTTTTTTAATTTTTAATATTATTTTTTAGTTTGTGTTTACCTAAATTTTGCAGAGTATATCATCTAACTAATTATTTGGTTCAAAAATTTTCACATTATTATGATTTCTAATTTAAATATATTTTATTAATTAAATATAACTTCTTCCTATTATCATAATTTAAAATTATTATATTTTAGAAATTCATATTTTAATCATTTTTCATTATTTAATAAAAGTTATATCCATTTTAGTTATTCTATAAACTAAACTTACTTATCCAATCATAATCCAAACAACTTTTCTACTTTACAAACTAACTATAAAAACCAATCTAAACATATATTATATTAGCCAATCTAACTTTTATCCAATCTCATTTTTCTAATCCAAATGAACCTAAAAACAGCACACACACACAGATACACACACACACACACATATTCCTATGTATACTTTGATAATACGCGTACGCATCATATAGGCTCCTTCGAGTCCCAAATGTACAGTCCATTTCTAAATATAAGGACTCATTCCCTCTACTCTTCTACATTAAATTTTCATTCCCATAATATCCTTTGGGTCTTTTTATCTTTGCGCATTTAATTTTAATAATTAAATGATATTTCTTTTGAAGAATTATTATAACTTAACTTTCTACATACCAATTAAAAAGAAAAAACTTACCTACTTTTCCTTTTGAAATTTATGAATTAGTTAAAAGGCCTTATATTTAGGGCTAAAGGGAGTAGATTTTTTGGTCAGTTATGTGTGTGTGTGTGAATGATAACAATTAAATTGTTAATTATGACTAACTATGAGTGTTGAGTTTTTTGAAAAGAAACTCTCCACTAGGGTTTCCTTTCATTAACAGTGGTGATTAATTATTCGTAGGAAATATTCTGCTTGGGGACTTTCTAGGGTTTCCTACCCTTGTCTATGGAGGGTTCTCTCTTTAAAGGGACACAATCTTTGGTGTCAGCAGTCTATCGAAGGGCAGACTAGAGTATTATACTCCTTGTGTTGGTTTTTCTGTTGATTGGGATGGAAAAATCAGAGTGGCACAACAGAATATTGGTTAGAGTTCTTGGAAGATGATGAGAGAATGAGGGGATTGGATCTCTGGCCTGGATATACAAGCCTGATCCTCATAAGTTTTAGGCATAAACGGACTCAGTCTGTTTTTCTAGCTCTAGTCCTAAATTATATTTTAATGTATCTAGCACCCTAAAATATTTTTAGGTGCATCCAGTATTCTAAATTATTTTTTGGTATATCTAACACTCTAAAATGCTAAGCGTAAAATTGCGCCAAAAAATCTTTAGGGTGCTGAACTGCTGGATGCATCACAAAATAAATTAATATACTAGATGCCCCTGAAAAATTATTTTAGGATGGTTGATGCGAGTTCACTCTTTTTAAGGGGAAAAAAAACATGTAGACACTTCCATAATAGGTGCCGATACAAACATATACGCGTGCGCGCGCGCTCCCTCACATTCCAAATGTCTCCATTCGATAGTTTTTGTTTTGTTAGGATTCATTCCACTTAATCTCCTTTATTAAATTTTGTTTGAATATAATTTTTGATTCCTCAAGTTTATCCTCATTTTGGTTTTAGTCCCTCAAGTTTTAAACTATAAGTTTTAGTTCTTCAAGGGACAAAATATTCAAGATTTTTATGGAATTACGATAACCAATGTTTTAAATAAAAAGAAACTTGAGAGATAAAAACCTAAGGTAAAAATTTGAGAGACACAAACCAAAATGAGAGCAAACTTGAATGACCAAAAATTGTATTAACTCTTAAATTTTCATTCCCATAATATCCTTATTTATTGGTTTTTATCTTTACACATTAAATTCTAATCATAAAATTATTTTTTGAAAAAATTATTAAAATTAACTAGTATAATTGAGTTTGTCAATTTTCATGTTGAGCTATAACTTCCTAAATCTGCTGTGCTCTGAGCCATAGTATGCAAAGCTGTTATCCCTTCTTCATCCCTTGCAAACGCTAGTATTGGCCTATCTTTCAACATTCTCAGTGCTAAATCTATGAAATTTTGTATAAAAGTAAGCAACAAATGGAAATTCTAGAATTAGATGCTGTCAGACGACTTAATAAGAAACATAGAGCAACATATATATTAAGCTCAAGTACTTCACAAAAAAAGTTAGTTTTTTTACTTAACATGTATTCAATACTAATTTGTGCTCCACAACCTATACTTCACTTGCAACAATTAAGTGTATTGGCGCTTTATATGGACAACATACACTTACCATAAATTCCAGAGTCAATGCAATTGAGGAATAACTTATTCCATTCCTCTTCTCCAAAATTTTCATCAGCACTAAAAGAGTATAGATACTTTGCTACATTAGCTCTTCCTTGTAATACAACATATAGAAGAGGAGTGAGATTTTCTCAACTTCTTATTTTTGGTAAGAATGGATTCTTTTCTGACATAAACTCAACAATCTCCAAGTTTCCTGTAATAGCAATATAGCAGAGGGTAGTGTTTCCCATAAGGTCTTCTAAATCCAAGGGTATGTTGCTCTCATCCATCATGTTCACAAAGCTCCTTTACAAAGTGAATATGGCCTGCTTCTGCTGCTACATGAAGTACTGTTGCCCATCCTGGTGCTATGGCTACATTAAGAAGCGTTCTATTTTGATCTAATATGGGCTTAGTTTTTTTTTCCAATTGCCTTTAGATGCATAGTTGTGAACAGGCACACATAATTCCAAGTACCTAATTCTGGCCTCCGCTGAAACAAAAGAGATCTCATTGTGAAATTATCAATGACTTGTTGGGATGTGATTAATTGAGATTTGGGTTGTCATTTGCCCCCCCTCAGATGTCCTCTTTTTTGGTCCTTAATTTTTTCGTACTTCTCAAATTCTTTTATTGTTTCTTTTTATTATTAGATTGTACATAAAATGGGTGAAATTTTGATATATTATGAACAAAAAATGGATGCAATTTTCAGTTTTTATGATTTTTCAAAGGAAAAAAAATACTTAAAAAAAAAACTGCACCATTTTTTGCCTATAAGATATCAAAATTTTACTCATTTCATATAGAATATAATCATAAAAAGAAGTAAGAAGAAAACATTAGGGAAGTAAGGAAAAATTAAAGGGCAATAGAGGGGGCGGTTGATATCCCAAATTCGATTAATTGATTGTTTTGTTAATATTGCAGGAAAATTTTGAGGAACCATGAAATAACTGAACACTTTGTGTTTTTTTTTTTTTTGACGTTAAAGAGAATGGAGAGAGTAGTTAACTAAATGTATCCTCTAAAAGTTCAAGGGAAGGTCTCTTATGCTCAACTGTTTCGACCCTCCGTAGTAGGTGGTGACTAGGTCCTTCAGTCCCATATTTATCTACAAAATCATACACATTAATTAAACCTTTACTATATATACTCAATATCAACATGTTCCTATAAATTATTTTTAGACAAGCACTTATTTCTCCTGATCAAAAGTGTGATATTAATATGTGTGTGTGTGTATATATATATATATATATATATGCTTAATTAAAAAATAGCTTAAAAATCCCTCCTAACAAAATTATTGTTGAAAGGTATCTGAGAACTCAGGACCTAAAATGAGTAGAACTTTTCAATTGTGTGCAATATATCCTTAACTACATGCAAATTTTTTCCGGTTTGCACATAATTAAAGATAGGTTGCACATAACTAAGGTAGAGTTGTCCCCAATAAAAATATATTGCACTTGGTCTTTAAGAAAATTTCATATATTTAGTAATAAATTTTTCAACAATTTTCCCTAAATAACGCACACGCACTCACATATATATATCCTATAACACCTATCCCTTATATACTAGTATAATTATTCTATTTAATCATGATCCATTAAAAGCCAGGTTTCATCCTGGGAATTATATATATATATATATATTTTTATTTCCATCCGGCCCTTCGAATCCTGAATTAAGTCAACTATAGCCAATAGGGTTTAACATTTGACACCCTAGCCATTGGCTCACACAACGAGATACGTAATTAGATACACATAATT